TGTTTACTTCCAAGGAAAACATTTCATAAAACATTGAGCATGTTTCTGAAAGTATGGCTATAAAATAAATTAAAACAGGGCTTAAGTTAATTAGTTATAGAACAATGAAGAATAAGCTGACCTTATCAAGCACTTGCCTTCTCTCTTCTTTATCCTAGAAGACGTTAATGGACAAAACCTACTCTTGGTTGGTACTGATATTGATGGGCCTTTCTGTAGAGAAAATGCTCTCAGATCACAAACCTTCTTCTTTCAATACTGGATCCTATACATATCTTCATGCCCCAAATCAGTCTCTTACTACCATTGATCTATTCACTTGTTCTCCCTACATTTCTTCATTCTTCTTCTTGGAGGGTGGACAATGACTCCAAGGGCAGTGGTCATGTTTCCATCATTCCAAGCAAGATAGTCCATGTTTGATACCATCTGAATTGTGCCACAGTGGAACCTGGAGAAGCCTAATTGGCTCTCTTTGATCACTCTCCTAGAGCTTGATCCTGCCATAGTTAACCTACTGTGTACAGCAGTAGCTTATTGCATTGTCCAGACACCTGCTCATACAATTCCTCAAACATCGACATGCTTGTTACAGTATTTTTGTTAGTGGTTGTCTCCTAACTGTCAACAGCCATAGAAGGATCCAAAAACAGGCCTGGGATATCTTGCACAGATATCCCACTTTTCATAATTGCTTGGCCTTCCAGCAGGATCGCATCTGTGTCTGGCAGATGAGGTATCACAGCAAGAAGGAATCTTGGATTAAGTTCACATCCAACATCTCTTCCACCACCAGTAACAAAGTCGTTTGGGACGAGATTCAAAAGGTGAATGGGAATTTTACCTCCTATCCGAGTTCTACTTTGCATTCTAATGGTCAAGAGGCTGATGATTTACATGGAATTTCCAACACCCTTAAGGAATGCTTTTCTCACCATTCCAACACATACACCTCTTCCTTCTTAACCAACAAGTCACAGGTTAAAAGATCACCACCTTCTCTTTCAGCAGATAATCTATATAATCGAGCATTCACTCTGATGAAACATCTACACTGATCTAACAGTACATCAGTTAGGTCAAATGACATTCACTATGAATTACTGTGGCATCTCTTGTCCTCTCTTTTTCTGGTAATTTTAACAGAATTTGGCAAGAGAAGGATCTTTCTGGATACGTGGCTTAGAGCTTTTGTAATCCTTTTTTCTAAACCTGGGAAGAATCTCAAGATTCCTTCTTATTATAGACCGACTGCATTGACTAGCTGTCTCTTGTAGAGAATAATAAATTCTTGTCTTGTTTGATATGTTGAATCAAATGATCTCTTTCTCACCCAATGTGACATTTGCACAGCTCTGCTGTAAATCATCTGATTCGACTTGACACGTCGATCAGAAATGCATTTCTCAAAAGCAGGTACCTTGTTTTGATCTTGAAAAACTTGACATTACATGGAAGCTTGGTATATTGCAGGACCTCCATTCATATTGGTTATGTAGCCATTTACCCACTTTAATTCATAACTTTTTGGCTGACAAGTCATTCCAAGTTCGTGTGGGATCAACATTGTTCCGATCTTTCACACAGGTACTTGAGCCCTTAGGGCTGTGTCCTGAGTGTCACGCTTTTCAACATTAAGATCAACACTATCTCTGTTTGCAACTTCATCCTAGAACTGCAAACAACCTCTATGTTTATGACTTGCAATTTCCTGTCAGATGTCGAGTATGAAGTTCATTAACTGCCAGCTTTAGACTGCACCCTATTGACTTGTCTGAGTGGGCCACAGCAAGCAGTTTTAAATTTCATCACCTTGTGTACATTTGTGCCGACAACAGGAATTGGCACCCTGATCTAGACCTCTGTCTGGGAGGTATTGTTACCCCCTGTGGTGGCTGAGACAAAGTTCTTAGGACTTCTATTTGACTGTAAGCTAATGTTTATTCCACACATTGAGTAGCTTCATGTCAAGTGCATAACGGCACTGAACATCTTCCACATCCTCACTTCTGCTTCTTGAGGAGCAGATAGATGTTCTATGCTGAAGATCTATTGCACCCTTATTTGATCAAAGCTGGACAATGGATCTCTGGTCCAGCTAGGCACTCTGCCTTGAAGATGTTGGACCCTGTATATCATCATAGGTTTTGGCTCTGCATGGGAACTTTCCACACTTCTCTAGTCCAGTTTGTACACTGATTCATATGAACTTCCAATTCACCTTAGATACTTGCAACTTTCTTTACAGCATAATGTGAAGTTCTGATCCTTACCACAGCATCCCATCCGGCATTGTGTCTACATGCATTGGTGAAATGTGCTTTTTGCAAATAGTCTGCTATTCACAAAATTTGGCCTTTATATCCATGCACAGTTAGCTGTGTCTGATGTTGAATGATATTTTTGAATCTAGTGATCAACCCATCCCACAATGGCTTATTACCATCCTCACTCTTAACCTTCCAAATCATTCTGAAAAAGTTGGATATACCCCACTTCTCTTTTATGAACACATTTTGAACCATTCTTCTGTTTTCATTTTTATGGATGATTCAAAATTTGACGACTATGAGCTCTGCCATGGTTTGCTACGGCACTGTAGTTCCTCATAGAATCTCCTCTACTGATTCAACATTCACTGGCAAGTTATATTCTATCTCACTTGCCTTGGATCATGTTGATGCTAAGCAATACACTAATTGTATGACCTATATTGACTTGCTTAGCTCTTTAAAATCCCTGGAATCACTTAATGCAAAACTATCCCGAAAAAAAAAAAACTATCCCACTGTTTTTACTGACCATCTTCATTACGTTTTCTGGATTCCTGGGAATTACCTTGCTGACACTTCAACTAAATCCATCTGCTCTGACATTGCCTGTTCATTACACGGACTTCAGACCTGTCACAAAAGCAAGGCTTCACACCAATTAACTGTTAATTTGGGGTAAGCAACATCACAACAAGCTTTTGCACATAAACCCTGTTGTTGTTTGGCTATCTAGATTATGGAAGAATCACAGAGAGAAAGTTGTCTTATCTAGGGCTCGGCACTGCCACAGTTTCCTTGTTCGTCTGTACTTTTTTTCCTGGAACTGATTCACCAATACTGGCCTTTGTGACATTCTAGTCACAATTGCCCACATTTTAATTTTGTGCCATCACTACGCTTGCCAGTGACAGTGTCATTTGAGAACTTTTGTCTAGAGGTTTACATTTGACATTTGAATAGTGCCACTAGTTACAGTGACACTGTCTAGACTTATTATGTTTTTAGCTTTTTACAGGCTATAGATCTTTCTAATTTTACCTAATTGTTTGAACCTTCTTTGAATGCAATAAAAAAGACATTTTGATACAATTTTGTTTTTTATTTGATGCTATGTTTTACTTTTTCTTTTTCTTGTACTGAAATCTCCCCTTTGATGCAGACAGCCTTGTAGCTCTGCCCCATTAAACTCCAAGTTTAAATCCCTTTTAATATAAATAATACATAGCTTTATAACAAAATAGCTTGTTTGAATTCAATACCCAAAAGTGGGTTAATTTCACTTAACATGGTAGATTCTGGTCCTACATGCAATATTATATCATAGGTACACTGTTTATAGACATGTCAGACAACTTCTCATGTGATGTTAAATACAATGCATACGAGGACACATTGTGAAAATAAATTGAGACTTTCATACACTTTTCATAAGCTTGGAATCTTTGCAATGGAATTCAAGAATATATAGAAATTTGTTAAGGTTGTTTCACATGAAACTTATGATGAATACAATTCTAATCATTAACAACAAGAAATATTTTGTACTATGAATAACATATTGTGTTTGTTATTCAGTAATACAAACAGCTAAACATATTAACAAATGGTTAGAATTATAGTATTTTCAGGTAGGTCATAAGTTTAGAACTTTCTGAAACTGAAGTACTGTAAGTTATGCAAACATGACCCTCATAACAAAATATTTTCAGATGTGCAATACATGCAGTTGTTTTTCACTATCCCTTGGCTCTTGAAAAACAAAGGTTAGTTCAAAACATCAAGAACTAGGTGGCTCGGTTGCTACCACATTGTTTGGCAAAGTTATGATTTTTTTTTAATTGGTTAATTGCTTATCTACATGAAATGTACCTTTCAATACTGGGTACTTTATAGAATTTCCATATTGTTTACATCGATTAGTTTTTTTGATAATGTATTTCAATTTGTCTGATGACTCTCGAATCGTATATATATATATTACGAACCGTAGTGTTTGTCCGAGCGTTCGTCTGTTTCCCATTTATGGCGCCCATTTCCCACGCTGTGCATGCAGACAAAGCTTAACATTCACTTTGGAAATGATGAGAGAACAGGCATGAATAATGTTGATGTCAAATTTTATTTTCCAAGCAGGATATTCTACATTAAACTGTTAAAAATTAATTACACTATCATTCATAAATTACAAAATGTGACGTAACTAGATTAACTTACTTTTCCCATTACTGGAGATGGGCATTTTTGCTTGTAACCACATAATATACCACAAATCTTCAAACAATTGAATTTCTCTATATTTTTCAGTTCCATCATCTACCATAATAGCAGTACAAGTACTTACTAGATATCTTAAAATTAATTAAAACTATGAATTAAATAACATGTTTGAGAGTTTGTTTTGAATTTCATGCAAAACTACATTAGGGCTATCAGTGCTAGCTGTCCCTAATTTAGCAGTGTAAGACTAGAAGTAAAGCAGCTACTCATCACCACCCACCACCAACTCTTGGGCTACTCTTTTATCAATGTGATTGACTGTACATTATAACAACCCCACGGCCGAAAGGGTGAGCAGATTTGGTAGGACGGGGATTTGAACCCACAACCCTCAGATTGCAAGTCGAGCACCCTAACCACATGGCCATGCTGGGCCCTGTTTCACAGTTTATCATATTTTCACAGATATTTGAATAGCTACATGCACACAACAATTATTTTTCTAATGTATTTACAAAAGCCACGTTAAAAGTAAAAAGTCAACTCAGATCCTTTGTTTAGTCTTATATCATTTACTTGACACAAGCATACCAATTTTATTACTGTTCACATACAAAAATATGCAATTAAACCCCTAAACTCAAAACATCCATTGCAACACTGGGCCCATCCAAAGTTATATACCTAGCTACATCCATTCTTATTGAGTTTTCTGAGTAAAACCCAACATAAAAACTGTACTAATACAAACATAATAGTACTGTCTGTTATTTGTTCTGTTTCACATTTTAAGGCTTTTATGGGCATTTTTTACCACTACTTTACCCCCTGCTGATGGATCTTCACCAAATTTGGCATGAAGGTTTGTTGGATCCATGTGGAGATACATGCTAACTTGCAGTTTCACATTTAATGCTTTGCAACTTTTATGTGATTTTTTCATTTTTTACAATTACATATAAGGGAAGCACCTTTTTGTGTCCTAAGATAACCTTTCATTAATCACGAATTTACATAACTTCCATCCAGGGGATGGGTACTCTAGCTAGTTGAGTTATAAATTTAGAACATTAATTTCACAATGAAAGAATTATCTTCAGAAAGTTTTATTTACAACCTAATTTACATTTTTAAACTAAAATTTATTCTTTTTTGTTTGTAAAGATTTTAAATTAACGTTGGAGTGAAGCATAACAAACACATTCGTGAAGCCTCATGCTATTGAATATTAATGTCAACAATAAAATCAAGGTGCGAACTTAAGTCTAAACTAAGTGACAATATAATGGATGAATGAGAAATGGAAAACATGGCATTGATGACTTAGAATCTTTTATGTCAGATGAGCTACAAACATCTCTGCATAAATAACACTTTTAAAATGTTTACAAAAAATAAAATCACATCCAATCCATTTCCGTTCAAATTACAGAATGTCAAAGTGTTAAAGCACTGAAAATATTTTCTTTTTCACCTCACTCTCTACTTAACTGAGCAAGTAAAAATTTCAGAAGCTAATAAGAGATTTGTAAGTATTATTCTACTCAAACTGAAAGCAATATGACAAGCATTCATATATCTTAAACATAAAAAAATTTACAAAATATACTACAGACTAATTCTAGCTTCTCAAATTCAAAATATAAACATAAACCAAAAACAACATATTATACAAGTGTACTATAGTGATTACATGCAGCTGAACCTTGTTTCAATATTAAAGTTCAGTAAATCATAATGAATGATTCATAATTTTACATAAATCTACATAAGGGCTTTCTTAAAATAGCCATCCTTTCTCATGCACAAAATACAGCAGGTTCAGTATCTATTGAAAAAATCTATGGCTAATCGCTGGTCAAATAGTAGGATTAGCGTTTCGCACACCATGGCCTCAGGGCATATTTTGCAGTAATGTAAGGAAAACTACAAATCCTCAGATTTACAGTTATGGCACATTACCACAAGACCATGCTCAGAAACATAATAAAATAATAAGAGAAAAAATAACAGCCAAGGAATGGATGTTCAAGCTGACAGAATAAATTAGAAAAACTTCAGTGGTATCACTACAATTAAGGTTAAGTAAGACCAGTGTTTAATATAATACTGGGTAGTCATTAATGCCTGGCTGAATGATGTTGGGCACATACAAGTAGAAAAAGGACTAGAAGTTTGAGCTACACTTACATTTTGTTTTATATTTGTGCAGTTAAATAAACTTAGTACATTTTTAATGAATCCCTCCCATATTTCAGGAAGTTTGTTATAATCCCTCAATTTACTAACTTCTTTATATACCATTCACTATTAAAGAGTACTATGCAACACAGCACAATGGCCTAAGATGTCCAATGAACATAACCATATGGTAATCAAAACTACACCAGTTAGAAGTGTAACTAATGAAGACTACAAGGTAGAAAATGAATGGCAGGGTCAAAGTGCAAGATGTCACAACCTTTTTATAAAGTTACATTCATAATTTAAACAACTTTATTATCAATGTATGTCAGTAAAGCTGCCATCAAAACATAGTTTATAATTCAAATTTTAATGCTCTACAAGTTCCTTTTTAATAATTTAAATCTAAATAAATTTTCAGTCTTCACTTCTCTGTACGATGTGACATTTCTTTGCTATGAATTTAACATTTTAGATTTTATTTTTACCCCTATATTATCTTCTGAGTGTGCCTCCAGTTACACGCTCGTTATGCTATAACGTAAATTTACAGTTTCCAAGCTTTTTGCTTGACTGGGATGTAAATAAGAAAGAGAATAATTCTCTCCAAAATTTGCTATTGGATTATTTATAACTACTATCAAGAGCAGATTGTTCCTTGTCAGGAGGATAATTTGTTTAGGTATGAGATTAATAAATATTTAGCCTCAGTTTCATTATTTGGAGTTCTAGTGTTCAGCTTGACCAGCTCATGAAATTTTAACCTATTTATAGTTTAGTTGGAAAGCCAGTTAATTTACAGTATTTTAGAACATTCTATATTTTATGCATGATAATACTGTATGTTTTAAATTGTATATTTGAAATAAAAATTAATACTTTGAATCGTCAATACAATAAAACAAAGTAGGCCTCCAGTGCTTCATCCATCAACAGCAAAAGCCTGAAGTCTAGATGTAAGTGTGTAATTTCTAGTATTTTTAGAGATAATGATTATTGACAGTCTTGTGATGTAAAGTGGGGGTAAAACACTATTAAAGCAGTTACATATGTTGTTTAAACTAGCTATATAATACAATTTAGAATTATTACATCAAAGTATTCGAAAAAAGATGGCTAGGTTCCTTCAAATTTTTCTTTAATTATCAGGCACTTCTCCGTTCCCTGACTAGGCATTCATCAATCTTTCTTCTTATCACACTGGAAAGAGCTACTGGCTGACCATCAACAATATCTAAAATTAAAAGAAAAAAGGGGGAATTTATAAAAATAACTGAAATATGAAATTAGTAATTCTGTAACTTCAAAGTTTTTTCATGTTAAACAATAGTACAGAAGTATATTGAATAATAGTAATAAAGCTTGTAATAACATTCACAAAAAAAAAACTTTTCTTTTAAATATTACCGATTTTCTATGGAAAAAAAATGGAATTTTTTCCAGTTATAAAAATATGTAATTACAGTAAAAGCTTTATTATTCGACATATGTCAAAACTCGGCAGTTTCAGGTAGACAAGAATTCCTTTCTGAAAGCATTTCACTTACAGTATTTTACAGGAAAAATTTTGACACCTTGTTGATGTTCAAAAATACAGTATTTGTACATCACCTATAACAATAACAAGTTCAAACAATAATAATACCTTTTGTAAAAACCTTAAACTGTACAAAAACATTGATTTCTTGCTAGAATTAGAAACTATAATTTCAGGATTTAGAAAATATCTATAGATATTAGTGGCTAACAACTGATGTTCGCTTGTAAGAAAGTACGTAAAAAAAGCCACAGCAGCAGTTAACTACAGTCTGTAACTTTTGAGATCATTCCAAGGCATTCTGGATAGAATTGCAATGAATGCCAGTTCCTACACTGAACACTTGCATTTGGAGATATTGAAATTTCCTTTACAAGAACTTTTCAGATGCAAAGATACCAGATAAGAAAGCTTTTATTCTATAAAGTTATCTAACAGTATAACAAAGCATTTGTACTTGAACAATTGTAAACTGCAGAATTCCATTAAATTATCTTGCTTTTTAAAGTGACCTTTATATAGCTACACACACATCTACCAAGTGGTCAAACTGCACTCTTAACCAAGATCCTCCAGATTTGTATTTGTTACTGAGGTAAATTAACATTATAAATGTTGGTAGGTAAATAAAATTTCTTGGTCTGGTGTCTCCTCTTTCATCTGAAAATAACTGGAGGGGGGCTTATTGGTAAAATTAAAAATAAAAGGAGCAGCTGTGCCTTTTTTCATTATTATTGGTCACAAAGTTTCAAAGTACTTCTCTTACAAGTTTGAACTGCTAAGCATTCCACATTTATTTTCCGTGTTTATTTTACTGTCAACAGCTAAAGTAGAACCCAACTGAAAATAAACCAATAAATTGCCACTTGTGTCAGTAGACTGTTTACATAATACAATACTCCTGAAAGCAACAAAGCACACACAAAAAGATAGCCGACTCAACCCCTGCCACGAGAACAGGATGTCTAATGTATCGGGCTATATATGCTAAAATGTTTTCTTGGCAAATTCAGAGCAATCACACTGCACTTAATCAGTAAAAACGTTCATGCTGACAACAGGATGTGTAATTTATTTATTGGCTTATGTATGTATCCTACAGTGTTCACAACAAGACTTTGAGAGTAACAACACTGCACTATGAACCTGTCAAAACATTTATTACGTGGTTTGGTGCCAATACAATAAATATTGCAATTCTTTGAATATTGGTAATCCTTTTGAAGTGTTTAGAATTTAGTGTCATAGGTGTACAAAGATGTTATTTGAGCACATGCTTATAAAATCTTATTTTCCTTTCCAGCACTTATTTGTCAACCACTAAAAACTTTAGTTTCGGTACTACTTATCACACTTGTTTAGTTTCACAAACCTTATAAGTCTAGTTTTCTTTGGAAAACATTCTTACTTTTGTAGCTAAAGTGTAGTTTAGTAGTTCTCTTACAGTTGTGAAACACTCTGAGTTGTTACTGTAATAATCATTTATAATATATATATACTGAGTGGTCACAAGTAAAT